CCACAAGGATACGGGGAGAACATGCAAACTCCACACACGTGGAGCCATGGCAGAGACTCGAACCTTGGCCCCAGAGGTATGAGACAACAGTACTAACCACTGCATCACCCCAACCACCTCAATTCCTCCAGCATATTAAAAGTCATATAAACAGGGAGTTAGTCTAGATAAAAGCAACTAAGTGAAAACCCCATGTTCAGTGCAGATTTAGAAACAAAGTTGGGGATTTTCAGTTCCAGGCGATGCATCAATGCCCTCAGTAGCACTGTGTGTAAGCATGCCAGCCTTCCATCCGTCCTCCTCCCTGCCCCCAAAGCAGCTGCTACTGCAGCGCCCACCTGCCATCGGGCACTCCACAAACACAGGTAACCCCTGGCATCATGTCCATTTACCTGGCAGGCGCTTGCCTCTAGAACCTCACCTTGGTCCAGACGACCCTGACCTCAGGATTAACAAACGCAGAGGTGATCTCAGGTTGTTTATCGGGGGGGTGTTCCACGAAGAAGGATTTCTCAGTTAGCTCACTTAAGCTAGAAGTCATGATTGTCTGATAGGAATGCTCCTTACCTAAACTCTTATTGGACCCCCCGGTCTGTCGAATCAAGTTGGACTTAATGAAATCAAAAGGAAAGACAGCTGAATAACAGGCTGAGGAGATATTGTGCCTATGTAACGATGTGTTATTCAATTAGATAATTTCCAAGCAATAGAATTGTCCGAGTGACTGAAATCACCTGACAGACTAAAAACTCAGCTTTTAGGGCCACATCTTGGCATGTGGAGTGAACACTTACAAGATGGCTGATTAATGTCATGCAGCACAGCACACAACATACAGGACATGCTGGCAAACATGAAAGCTGTGGCTTTTCTGCAGCCGGTGACCACAGTTTACACAGTGAATGGTTTATATTTTGGCACCTCAGGTTGAATGCAATGTTCTGGATTAGTGACACTAATAAATAATAAAATGCAAAACCTACACCTAAGGCACAGTTCATGCCTGATGTCTCAATGCTTGCATTAACAGAAACCTCTAACTTAAAGTGTCTGGTTTGTTCCACATATTTTTGTCACAAAATAAGTCTATTAACATAAATGAATGTTTCTATTAAAAAGAACACAATACAGAATTATGGCTAATTTCCTGGGGATGCCATCTTTAATAAGAGAAATTTATTGTAGTGGCTCTTATTTTTTCTAGGTGATACATTTCGAAGTCAACAATAGTACCCGAATATGCAAATAGAAGGCAGATGAACATGTAAAATCTGGATAATTGTCATCATGTCTGCTTATAGGGGCCAAAACTTCATAACAAGGGGCACTGAATGAAATGTATTGGAGTTACAGTCTGAGTTCACAAAGGAGTGTCACAGCATCACAGGCCAGTGAAGAACAGCGACCATTTCTGAATACTGAAGAGGCTTTGATGTCTTGCTGGAAATGCAATGTTTGAATTCTCCCCTTATAAACTGCACTAATAACTACCCCAGTTTATGAAAAGCTGCAGTAATACGTCAAAGCTTCAGGCTTCAAGAAGTCACTTAACCACCTGAATCCGTCTATTCTGATTCCACCACAATTGCTGCCTGGATGAAACGGATCATGGGAAGTATGAATGATATGAGAGGCTACACACTTTATGGGCGAGGAGGACCAGGATGAGTGGCTTGCCTACACCACTAATAATTCCACATGGTCCAGAAGATCAAAAGCTACTCCCCTTTAAATTACAGAAGGCTATAGGGGAAATGCTGGCTTTAAGACCGCGGGTTAGTACTTGTTTATATGGCCAGTTTATGGCCACAGTAGGACCATAATCTTAGATGGAAGAAATTTCTTTCGAGGTTGCTTTTGTGTTGTAGGATTTATATTTTTAAGGTAACGATTCATCTTGTTGGATATTTTACTGAGGTAATTTAGGTTTAAGCACATTATATTCAGCGGTACAATAGCAGAGCGCCAGGTGAAACCTACTTTTTTAAATTGAGTTTCTTACCCACAATGTCACCCCTATGCAATGGATTTTTTTTCTCTCCTGCTGCGCCATAGGTTATCTTTTCCTCAAAAATATCTCCACGGTTAAATACCGCACTTACAGAGAATTTGTCTTTTTAAATCACTTTTAATAATGAAACCTGAGAGAATGACTGTTCCTACGCCACTCCAAAGTTGACAGGGGTTACAGAACCGTTTTTAACCGGCGATGTTCTCCGCGTTTATTCCCGGATTTCTCGCCATTAGCACCATTTGTCTGGAGGAACAGCGCCACTTAAGGGGTCGCCAGCGGTCCTTATAATAAGATGACTGCCCGGCACTGAGCTCAACTTTTCATTGTTCACTTAGACACGCGTTTAATTCGCTAAATTAGCCACCGACGAAAATAGCCGCATGCACGCCGACGCTCGGCTTCAAACTATATAAAATATAATTTGATTTCCATGCATCGCTTTTCGTCATCAGGTTTGTTTACCTCTCGCTAACTTTTCTAAATGCTGGTCTACACTAAACCTACAATTAATCCAATGCAAACGATCGCAATACAACACCTAAAATGCATGGTAGGCTATATTACGACGTGTTCTGCGTACTAAAACACCAGAATACATAATGTAATAGTAGACCACATATGGAAAATATATTTTAGGTATTAGGTAGCACATAGGTAATAAGCAGTGTCCTATGCAATCAATATTATATGAGACAGTCATGGTCACCTGCCGTGCTATAAAATCGTTGATATGGCTATTGGGGGCAGGAATTAAAATGGAAGCGATATTGCAACATTCACGATGTAGTAAGAAGTGAGTACTGCGTTAGAAATACTTGGGAAACGCAGCTAAAGACTAACAACAATAGGAAACATGGTGAAGCGCGAGCTACAGATAAAAATTTAACTACAAGAGAAAACCCACAACATTAATTAATTCATAAACACATTAAACTCATTACCCACATAGCCCCACGTTATTGTTTCAACGTTGAGTTGTAGTTAAATGCGTTGAATTATAGTCAGTGTTAAATTATCAACGTTGAAACTGAATTGATTTTTGGTCAGATTTTCAATATTGGAAAATTGATGGTGGGGGCAAAACATTATTCAATGTTAATATAAAGTGAGAGATTGAAGACCAACCTTGTTTCAACTTGTTTTTGCCTGATATGGAATAAATGTCATTTCAACATATATGCGTGCTATCTGGGTATTTGCTATGCAATATGTATGGATTCCCATAGGAACACTATACATAGCCTATATCTAAAACGGATCGCCGACTAATTTAAAATAAGCCCACCTGACAGTCCTCCCGACCCTTCTCAGGATTAGAGGCTGGATAAGCATGGATGAATGGATGGACATATGACAGTTTTATAACATGTCATTAACTTCAGTGTGATACACACACACACACGAGGCAACAACACGGAGCGATTTACAGCAGCTGCATCCAATTCTTTTAAGGCAAACTAACTATTCATGCCTGACTTGTCTGATACAATGATTCCGTTTCGTCCTTCAAGTGAGCCGGCGAATGCATTAACGCGGCGTGTGGGACCTGACAATCTTCCGAGATTACCAAATCAGCCTTTAACGTGACAAAATCAAATTAGGTTTTAAAAAGAAAAACTTTACCTATTTCAAGCAAACTTTCCACAAACACATCTTATTAAAAAACATTAAATGAATGTTACTTAACAGTTCAGGCACTTTCAGTTTTTTCGCCTCTTATTAACATGTATAGGCCAACCTTTACGTCAGCGTGCGTCGTTGACTGCTTTGAGCTTTTCCGCTAGATGGCGGCAAATCCAAGCGCAGTCTCAAAGCGCCTGTCTCCACGCTCGCTTCAAACTCTGAAGTCTACAGAGGTAGAGCCCCGAGCTGGGCCGATTACATATTACATTGCAACAACAAATATGCTTTATTTGTGTATTGGTTTCCGCAGAAAAGTGAAAATAAATGTATTGTGTTTATTAAATTCTCTGTGTTGATATTAATTTAGACAATGGTCATAAATTTGACTGTGTTAGGCAGGGTGCTTGGAGGGCACAGCCAAGCTTTTTGCCTAGGGCCCCAGTGTCCCTAGAATCGCCTCTGTGCAGAGGATCCCATGTAAAATCTGCTCTTCAGTCAAATCATTTCTGCTCCAAATGCAAGAAAATAAGCTATACTGTGTATCCAATTTATACCTATGCTTGTCTTTAATAGCACATAAATAAAATAAAAAAATAAAATATACTATTTTATTATTGAGTGTTAGCCTTCTTCAATGATCAAATTAAATGCAAACAGAGAGACAGGCAGATGTAATTTATTCAGATTGCTTAGTAATTAAGAGTGATAGTTGAAGCACTATCTGCAACGATACATAATATCAAACAAAAGTTCAAAGATGTCAAGCAATTAATGCATATGGTAATTGGGCATTATGAGTAACAGCAGCTCTAAAGCTTATTGTCAAAACAGCACTCAGCGATGAAAGATACCACTCGTAAGCAAAATGACTATTGAATACATGTGTTTCATGCAGTATCAAACCCATTATGAAGTGTCACAATAGCTTTCAAACGAGCAAAAAAAAAAACATGATAAGAACAGTGTGTTCCACTCAATTCAGGAAGTGTGGCTGCTCAGCAGACTGCTCACATGCTCCCGCCGGGTTCTCTGCCAGCCCCCCACCGCAATCACCCAGTTCCACCCTGCTCACCTTTAAAGAAAAAAAAATGTGCGAAGCCACAATATTTACATTTATGTTACCTAACCTTTCCTGAACTTTCCTGAGCCAGCCAAACACAAACTGTTTTCAAAATCTATTGGTGATTAATACAGAGAAAAATGTTTTGTACCTAGTAATCTAGGCCAATTTAAAAAAAAAAAAATTTAATACTGCTTGAAAAGACTGAAAAGGCCACACAGGTTTTGGCAAAAAGAAGCAGCACCATAAATCTGTTGCTGATCCCAAAGGGTGAGAGGCGTCACGTGACTCGACTCCCTCCCCGCTTCTCTCCTGCATGTCTGCAGGGCTGCTTTTCATTTGTTCCCCTTCCCTGAATGGCCCCCAGGCGCTCGGTCACCATGTGACAAGATGGCTTTTGTTTCCGTGGAGGACGGGTGCCCTGGGATCAGGATGCAGATGCACAGGGGAAAGCTATGCGTCGCCGGAGTGCAGGGCCCCCGCTCCCCAGGGCACCGGTGGAGAGAAAGGGCGAGAGAGGGTACAGCTCCTCTCATTGATTAATGAGGCAGGGGGTTGGGGGGTGGGGGAGCAAGAGCCCCAATTAGTCTTTGGCTTTAGACAGAAACTAGAAGCGCCCAGTGGCCCTTGGAAGGCATGGGAACCTGGACTTTTGAGAGAACTCAAAATAAATACACACCCACACAAACACCAACGCATAAACACATGCAGACCCATGTACACAGACCGACACTTACAAACACACATACTGAGGAAGGTCACATATACTGATGTGTATACACACATACGCAGCAAAACCACACACCAGGGACCCTGACAAACACACACTTACACACATACATACAAGTGTTTGTGTTCCCATCTTTGTGGAAAATTAATAATAATTCCAGATCCAAACCAGTAAAAGTCAAAGCGAATTGAAAAGCGATAACCTAAAGGTTTTCACTTCATTTTTTAAGCAGATAAGACTGAAAAAAGGTAATTGTCTGAGGAGATGGCTACCATGTCTGCTTTTCCGGTTTTGGTGTCTTTACACGTGCATTTTCCCAAAATTTATCTTCACAGGACAGAGAAGCATTAACAGGGACATAGACTATCGCACACATGTACAATTTCAATGACACCGATACAAACACACAGAAACAAGCAAACATACGCAAACACACCACAGAGACACTCTCCCACACACACAGACACAGTCTGACTCAAAGACTCAGAAGGCTCACACCTGGGAGTCACCTGACTCCTCGTAATTAACTCCGTCTGTCAGATATCCACCTGGCTAACCTGTTTTTTTTTGTTTTTTTCGTTTTGCTGGGTGTGTCTCTGGTGCTTGAGAAAAATTACACGCCATAGGTAAACAGTGGGTCCCATTTAATACTAGCCAGGTCAGTTGCATTTTCAATTGATGCCTTTAAATATCACTGTGATGAAACAATATTCATGGCGACCAGTGATGTTTTATGATATGCACTTAGTGCACTTGTATGAATCAAAGCCTCTTCAAGTATCTGCAGGAAAATTAATGCATGTAAAAGTTAAAGAACACAAGTTAGACTTTCCACTCTTCTTTTAGCTCAGCCTGGCTGATTATCATCTTATATATTTAGGGGAACAAGGGCACTTGGTAAGTTTTTTAACAGCCTGGGAAAGGAATACAAAAATTATGCAAAAACCAAATTTCTGGCCAAACTGTCTCGTTACCTTGAATTTCGTGAAAATTTTACACCCGGTTTGTATTGAAGGAAATATGTCGCCTCTTTGTATGTAAAGGCGGCACTTCCTAATTTCCTAATTTGATTGCTCTCTTAAGTTGCTTGTGTGCACAAAGGCTCGCATGACGGACCAGATGAACAGGTCACTGGTGCACTCAGGTGAGGGTAACCACATGGGGGACACATGCCCAGCCCTAACAGCTGTGCCTACACATGCTGAGATGTGGACCATAAGTAGTCTGAAATGAACAGTGAATGATGGACAGAAACATTAGCTTTTTCCCCAGGGAGTTTAGCGCCACCTGGTGACTGGTTTCATTAATGATTGGGCACAGATGTAAAAGTGCCCCCGCACCCCACCCTGCCCAGATAAGTGGCTGTCCTGCACTGTACTTTGACTGCTCTCCAAGACACTCATTAAAAGGAAGCTTTTAAAGAGCAGTTTAACTCCAAAGCAATGAAGCAGACAGGAAAAGATTCTGAAGTTTCACACCATTCAGTCCAGTGCAGAGTGATATGTAGGAACCACAGAGCAGCCTGACCATGTCTCACTGCTGTCAGGTAGAGATATAGGAATCTGTGCTATCCTTCTTCTGTTTGGATAAGCAGTCTGAAAGAGGTGGGGGAGAGGTGTGGATATCCCCAGTCAGGGAGAAGTCAGGTGATGAGCACGTTCATGCACCAGTCACAAGAACCTTAACTCTGTTTTTTCTTTCAGGCCCTGAAAGTGCACACAGACACTAATAGCTGAGCCCACACCCAGCTGTGACACATCTCCAACACTTTCTTCCCATTGCTGAAGGGGAGCCTTTATGTGTTCCAGCATTCACAGGAACACGAGGATTTCATTTTTTCAACATATACACAGAATTTCAGGAATATTGGACCAGTTTACCTATAGACATTAGTGGGGACTGAGGTCAAGGAACTGGAATAAACCTCATCTTAGAAACATCCCTTTTCTGAAAACAGACATTTTCAAAATCCCTCAATACCATGTAGTCTGACTTGTTTACGTCTCAAAAGCTTGACAGGAGTCATATTCCTGTCTGACATGGTCCCACACGTTTCGTGTCAGTAAAACATAAAAACAAGTAAGTTCAACTTTTTACTTCTCATTTTTACATAAGCAACAGTGGGGGGCTGGATATGATAGGAATCTTGTGGGAGTGACTCATCGATTGTGCGGCATATAAATTGTGGTCTCACCGGGTGAGGGAGTGACGTCACCCGCCAGACGGGAAGAGAAAGCGGCCCGACGCCGTGACAGAGAAAAACAAGGCAGGTTCAGTCAGGGTTCATGCTCCGGAGCACCGGCATGGTGTCGTCACGGCGACCGCCGACAGGTGTTGCGCAACAGAGAAAACAGATGCACACGCATGGCACTCGAGAGGATGAGATCGCACCTCTCACTAGACCTGGGCAATATCTCCATCGCAGGGAGGTTAGGAAACTTGCCAGCAAAACTGCTTCTCCATAAAGTCTGGAGACGGTTATCTCTCTGAAGTTCGAAAGTAAACATACAAACAGGCAATAAGATTCTCATGAGAACATGGGTGCTGACTTTCACTGTGGTTACTGCGGCCCCAAACCATAATAAGAAAAGTTCCTTAACCTGATTCTTGCTTCTCCCGCAAAAGCACGAGGTCACACAATCATGACAAAGCAAAAACTGGAAGTGCTCTTCACATGCTTTGGTGATATAAAAATAAGTACAAAGGCTCAGTTGAAAAAAAGTATTAAAAGAGGCTAACAGCAATTCAATATGACCACCCTGTGGAATATTGTTAACTGTCGTAGACCATTATGTAGCTATTGTGCTGCCAACAAGACAAGAATGATGGAATATAAATTTGTGGAAGTTAATTAAGACATTTGGACTATATAAAAAGTCTGAAATTTACATATCTGGTAACAGTGACTGGCTACATTACATTGTCAGACTGACAGAGTGACAGATGCTGTTATTTTGGGGTACGGGGATTAAGTAGTAACTTGTGTCACAGCAGGCAGATGAGTCTGAGTCAGGGTAACAGACAGAGTAACTGTAAAAGAGGGTGTGGTGCTCCCTTGTCCCATAATGAGTAAACCTGAGTTTAAGTGTGAAACTTCATTGGGAGCAAGCAACACTGCAGGAAACCACTGAACTCAGGTCTGAAAATAAACTCACCATCTTAATCAGGTTTTTCCAAAATGACTTACTGTACGTCACAGCAAATACTATGCTAGCTATTCTCAACTCTTCAATACCATCATTGCGTTTTACAAATTAAAACTCTTCTTGGTTTAATTTTGCAGCTACAAGTGAAAAGTCCTCAGTGTCTTCCGTCTATATGGAGGTGCAGCATAAGCGAATTGTGCCCGTTTTCATGCGAGCACGCCCCCGAGTTTGGCGTGCGTGCCCGTATCTGCCGCGCCCTGGCGGGTCTGGGTGATGCATCTACCGCTCCTCCCCTTAAGTCGCATTTCCAGTGAAACCAGATGGAGGTGCTACCCTCTACCCTCCCCCTGGGGAAACGGCGCCACTAATTGAATTTGTCTGGATCGAGCAGAAACAAGCCACAGCCCCAGATACCGGCGACCAGTGGACGCCCAAGATGAAAGCCCAGTGGCTGACCTCAGTAACCCCCTGCAGGCCCCTGTGTTAAGATTGATCAGACATTGATTTCATTTGAAGAGTGGGTAAGATGTTACATATGTTCTCTGGCTGGCAGTTTATAAATGAGCTGAGAGAATGGGCTTGGGGGGGTTTTCAGTCCCCCCAGCCAGGGTCTAAACGGCACAATATCTTTGTGTAATAAAGGAACTCATCAAGTGTCGCCTGTTTACAGTGGGTTTATCCAAATTTAACAAATAAGGAAGTGAGGATGTCAATTGACGTCAAAAAGGTTAATCTTAATATGGGGAACAGCGTCACACTGCCAGTGTTTTTTCATTATAGTGAATTCTAGACTCTTGGTTTCGGTCATAGCCTTGATCACAAGGAAAAGCTGCTTCACAGAGAGGGACTTAACTGTTGCATTCTTCACTGCTGCCAAATCTTGGCTATCTATCGATCCAGAACTTCTCGCGCCGCTAAAGCCATGTAGCGCTGCTCCTGTTAGTCGCAGATAAGTTAAGTACACAACTCCTGCGGTGTAGCAGAACGCTCTGATAAGCCCTCACATCTGGAGGAACCCTTCTGACAATGACACACGCTGCAGCCTGCAGAGCTCTGCTGTCAGGTGTCCAGGCAGGATGCAGAGGTATCAGACGGGAGAAGGCGTGGCTCTTCAGGCTGGGTCATAAAGCCAATCACACACTCCCTTCTGTGGGGACACAGAGTCACCACAAGAAATGGGGTTAGGTGACGTACAGTGCTCACAAGTCTTGGGACACTTGCTTGATTCAGTAAAAATCTTGCAAATTAGTTGGTTTCATAACAAAAATCATTACTTTTTGTTTACACAAATTATATATGACATTACAAACCCATAGTTTTCAGTACATTAATTTCAAGTAGTATGTGTATGAAAGGCAAATTATAGTTTACAATTGGCAGTTCTGAGTTAAAAAGTTAATTGACAAGCAGTCTCATTAGGGGCTTTTTAAAATTAGTAACACCTTAGTAATAATATGAAACACTAAACATTTGTGTTTAATATCCCTTTCAGAACCAATGACTAAAATTGTAATTAACAGCAAAATGGCAAAAACGGAACTGAATGGATTAGTAAAAAAAATGATGACACTAAATGGAACAATGTGCAGTTATGTTGCACACTGCTTATCAATGGACTTTTTTATGAAGCCAATAAATTAGCAACATTTTCACAGAATTATGCAAGCACCCCAAGATTTTCTGCAAGCACTATAGCTCATAGGAACCTAAATGTTTTGTTCCTTTACATGGAAATCAGGCCTGACCTTGAGCCCATTTGCTCAGAAAGAGGTTCTTGCTTCTGCTACAACATAGCACTGCTGACACTGCATTCACGTCTTAGCCAGCTGTACCAAAGCCTATTAACTTTTTTGCTCTAGGAAGACTTAGAACCAAAACTCAAAACTGATTGTCAAAATGGATGGATGAATGACTTTCGTGGCCAACCTGCAGAAAAATGCATCGGAAAATACCGTCAAAACATCTTTATGTCCATTTAACTTGTTTAGCTGACACAGCAGAGAGACCGCTTTATACAGCTGGATAAATTCAGGCTCCATGCTCAAGGGCACTTCTTGGGAACTGAACTGAAAACATGAAAAGCCCCCTCCCCCAATCTTCTGTCATGCTTTCTACCGTATTGTCAGCTTGGTCTCTGGTACGCAAAGCACTTCCATTAAATCAGAGGCAATCAAGCTTAAAATAAATTTTTTATGCTGCATAGAAGTGGATGAGTCTGAAAGCAGTCTTCCAACAATGTTCCACCATAGTCTTGATGTCACTCACCCTTTAGATTTAGACAGGAAGGCGCTTCGAATTTTTGAAGGTGG